TTATATTTAAAGTGAAGATACTTAAAGAAGTCCAGTTCTCAGAAAGTTTGTTAATTCTTCTTGAAATTCGATTTGTTTGGAATAACGAAGCCCAGAAACATTCACTAAGTATTGATGTCAGGTGCCTAGTATCCGAACAGTTTTTTCTTTGCTGTACAGAATGGATGAATTAGCTGTGTACATTATCCGGATAAGATATATTTCACATCTATAACTATAATTAAAGCAAAGGATATATGATATAGTCGTAAAATGTAATTTTACTGAACTCCCTACGGAAATTTTCTTCACTCATTCGGAGGCGACTTAGGGTGCTTACCATTTGACAGAAAAATCCGGTTGGGGTGTCGAAAGCGTAATGGTAAGCGATTTGCTATGTTACCGTAGAAATGCCACATCCGTTACGGTTTGAATCCAAAAAAGGGCGAATTTGTGTCGCGTAAGTCTGGAACCGAGAAGGAACTGAGAAATTGGTTAATTGTAAGCAACATTCTGTTTGGTTTGTACCAACCGGAATGAAAGGACTACCTCAAAACGTACTCCTCAATTTTCGGTTGGAATTTCCGAAAAGTGACCTTACCATTTACCTTTAATTCGAAATTTCCGAAATTTTCCGTCAAATGGTAAGCACCCTTGATTTCGTGTGCGCCTCTTGTTTCGCGTGAGTGCATTTTCTATATATAATCGAAAGCGTCGGAGTTGAACCTGGAATTCTCATACTTTCCCCAGTTGTGACTGCTAGAATGGGGTTGCAACGGTCGGAAAAATGTCACAAACGGATTGAGAGATGTGAAAGAAGGAGGAATTAGTGCTAGAAAAGCAGGCTTATTGTAGGGTCTGTAGGGACTGAGCATGAAGAAATCAACACTGCAGGTCAGACTAAATAGGAGAGTGACCTTTGACCGTCGCATTGAGGTCCCTTCCCCAAGCTTTTTGTTTTTTAGAATAAAAAATGAAGAAAAAAAGTAGTTTGCAGATTGGCTAATTGAGCTAGCAAACCACGGCTTCTGCATGTCCACGGATGCCTTCCTTAAATCAGTGAAAAAGTTCCTAGACAAGGAAGTCAGTATTATGCCATTTAACAACCGCTCGAGTTCCCCACCATACCTTAGTCATTTGCTATGTTTTATTTCTCGCTGCTCGGTTATATTTTTGTAATCGATTGCCAGACTACTTTGCAAGTGCAAGGGAAGCTTATAAGTCGCTTGCCTGTCGAGATTTATGTACAATTACGTTGTTATTGTTGTGTCCGGATACTGGGCCAGCTGTCCTGAAACTGGGCAACATAGGAGCTCTGCAAAAATATTAATTTCGCGATGGAAACAAAGGCAAAAAAGTTCAACTGTCTTTTTGTCATATTAAGGACTAAATAGATTTTCTCTGGGCCAAATTTCAGAGCTCTTGCAACTAACAAAGGAAAGTTATTGCAATGTTAAACTGAAGTGTCCGGATACTGGGATACTGTTGTATTTGTCGTCACTCTTTTTGAGATACTTGCCAGGAAAAGCAAACATCGACGTTTTTATGGAAGGGGAGTTAATTCTTTTGCCATTCATATCAAGATCAACATTCATCACCACTTCATCCTTTTTGACATCAAAAGCGGTATGATAGTCATATACTTTTTGAGGGTCAACACTGGTCTACACCATAAGCAATCATCCAGTTGCCCGTAAACTGTTGTGGATATGTGACCAGTTCGTTTCCAACTTGGGGAATATCAACAAACACATGCAGACTGTAAAACGGATCTGGAACTGTTTTTTGGAAATTGATGATTACTGGGATATAATACATGTATTCAACGCTACCATTGTTATTTGTGTATCGGTGAGAGAATTATAAATGTGAATATTGCCAGCGTGAGGTTGAAGATTATCAATTTTCGAAATGAGAAAGCTATTTTCAATGAGTTTATTTGGAACCAAATAAAAAGTTTTATGTCTCCCCTTCCAATTTCTTCAATGCAGGGATTTGGGGGGTGGGGTCCATTGCGGCTTCAAAGGCTTAGAGGCTCTCGAATGTGAACTTTGAATTATCTTACAATGGTTTACGATCGCATGAGAATCACAAGACGAAAAGTAAAATTACTTTTGGGTAATAATCACGAACTCCCATGATAAGGCCACTCGCAGTAAATTTACTTAGCCTCGATCTCATTATCTTGCGGAGACCCTTTATAAGAGGGTGTAACCTTTTGTTAATCCTCTCGGCCTGAAAGCTGACATCAAGCCGAATCTTCGATAGCTGACCCGCTTATCCTTTGAACAAGCTATCGAAGATCAGTCCATTCCAATTTGTCATTCATTAGGTATTTGAATTGATTGTCATTATGAATGGGAATGAGATGTGATGCATCCGTGTGATCCTCCAGAAATGTTTATTTGTAGCATCTTTGTCATCAGTTGGATCACCAAAAATTAATTATCTTGTGATTGACCACATTAAATCGGGTATTTGCACATGGGCTCCTTTTGTCAACAAAGAAGTGTATCATACTACCATAATTCAGTACAAGTCTACTATATTCTGTAACCGGAGCAGGGACATATATATCACCAGTCATTGTACCACCAGAGAGTTTCAAAAAGTTATTATCTACATACCCTTTATTGGCACCGGGACTATCATCCACATATTTTTTATCCGCAACATCAGTAGCGTTAACAGGATCTTTTACATTTTTGATCGCGTTGTTATTCATATTAAGATTGCCAGTCAATGGCCGAATACCTGAATAAGGAAGGAAAACATTGGCAAGATTATTTATCTGAGCTAAAACATAATCCTTTGGAGTTGCGGAATCACCGGTCAAAGTTGCAGTTGTTAATAATCCTGTTATTACATTGTTGTTCATGTTCAAATTGCCTGTCATTGCCACATTTCTACCTTTTTTAAAAAAGTTGTCATCAACATACTGCTTGTTTACAGCTAGAGGTGATATTATAGGCAAGGGAAGATGCTGAATCGTATGCTGATTCATGTCGAGAAGTGTATCAATTTTATAAGTTTTTGAATTGAGGGATAAAAAGTATTCTTGCACTTCTTTATAACTAACAAGACTCTATTCGACAGAATCCAATTGTGCTTTTGTTCTGTGTTTGCTATTGATGACATTGTAAGTATCTTTCAATCAATATTTGCATCATCATTGTGTTCATTAATCATTGCTTTATCAAGTTAATGTTTTGTGAATGCATCACTTGAAACAGTTCCTTCACCAACATTTGTCAGCTTTTTTGTTGAATATCACAGTTATTAGTAGAGTCGAACTTGATTCCACTTGATTGAATTTGTTGGGTAATTTTTCTAATGTATTCAGAAATGTCGACATTCTTTATACTATTAGATTAGATTGTTTCATTAAAATATTTCATTATACTTTTTTCCTCTTTGTCCAATAACAAAAATTCATAAGGACCAAGCTTGCTGAATGAAGAGAGGTTCTATCAAGTTTTCTTTAGCAATCAGATTCAGATGTTTTTTTGTTGGTGGTGGGTACAGTATCATATTGGAGCAATTTTGCCTTAACTTTTGCGGGACGTCATAATAACTCTTCGTCAAGTAAATTGGACTGAATTTATGATCACGCCCATCTGTGAAATGATTGGCGATTATGTTTTGTATTTTATCAGGCGCATTAATCAGATCATCAAATTTCACCACTTTCCTATTAATGTCAGGGTATTCTGATGTGTCTTTAATATCATCAGATGATCCAATTTCTAATACAGGATAACGAAATTTCTGAGATATTTATCCATCAATTTTTCAAGATCTTGTATTTTATCTTGGTGCTGATTTGGTGTGTATAAATATATTTTGTCATAATATACAAGGAGTGTTCTTAACATGTGCACCAAAGTATTCGTTTTGCGGCACTTACCCTGACCAGTAAGAAGCATTCTGTAATCCTCATCCAAAAAGTTGTTTAATTTTCTCTTTGAGATAGCTTTTCTGCTAATGTCATAATTTGGTTTTTTCATTATACAAATTTGTTATATAAATAACGTTAGATAAGTGTTGTTTTCACACATATTTATAAATATAAGTGTCATTTTTGCAGAAAAATTATGTATTATATAAATGGATATTAAATGGATATTAACAAAATTTAAAAACATGCAGAATCAGAATATGATAGCTATAAAATTGCTAAAGCAGTTACTGAGGTGAAAAATTAATAAAAAAACTAAAGAAGGAGGGCGTGATATTGTGATAAGTGATTGTTTCAACAAACTGCGAGAGCCATTAATCGAACCGCAGAAGAAAACGGACAAGAAACAAGATGAACAATTGAAGGACAACTAAGACAGAATTGTTCAGGCAATAGAATATAACCCCGCAATATCTTATGATGGTAAAACATTCGCTGAACTCGAATGGGACGGTGAAGAACCAAGTCATGAATATGCATTCGTTGATACAGATGATGAGAGTTCCGAAGAAGAACCGAGTACAAGTAAAACTGATAAAAAAGTAGGTATACTCAATCTTAATAAAGGCATAAATGATGAGTACAAAACTTTGTTAAAAGACAAAGGTTATGATTTACCATCTGAGATTTTTAACGAACAAAAAAATGTCGATGATATAGCAAAAAAAGTTGAAAGTAAATTAAATATTCTGAAAATTATATTTAAGAACATTCAACCAAACAAGGGGGACCATTGAAAAAATTCATTAAAATGCAGAAAACGACTTTTAAGCGAAATAAAACAGAATTGCCATATTTTAAAGACTATTTAACAAGACTGGAACATATCCAAGTAGCCCCAAAATACATGGGTGAAGGTATAAGGAGATACAAAAAGCCAAGAAGAAATGCTTATAAAATAACTAATAATCAATACGGTGGACCTCTTATTGATGTCCCAGTGCTGATGAATAAGATGAAATTGAATGCTTGTCGGGGTGGTAAATTGGTTTATCAAGCAGATGCGGACAGATCTTTGATAAATCTGCTAGCCAAAAGGTATAATCCCAAAATGAAATACCGTATGAATGCTGTGAGGGTCTTTAATGATCTTAACATGCTATCTAATATGCCGCCACACAAATCATCCAGTGAATTGAGAATGGTTGGATCAAGTGTGGTGTATTATCAAGATCCAAAACAACTGGCTGATCGTATGAAAATAGTAATGGGTTCAATGATTGCAGGAAACAATAGTCCAGTATTAAAAATGATTTGTCAAAGATAAATGATGAACTACTGAAAATAGAAGCTATTGATAAATCATTACACGAAAAATTATATAACAAATATATATTATAAACGACTGCTAAAAGCACGTTTGGGTTCAAATCAATAGATGGAAAAAACAAAACCCAAATAATAAACCAGTTAATTTTACTACAATATTTATTCCAGAAGGGAAGGAAATAAACTTAATTAAAAAACATCCTATAAAAGATTACAATATACAAGCATAGGATAAAAGTTATCACAAAATCATAGATAAAAATGTATCTAAAAAAATAAAAAGCCTTAGGCTTGGGTAGAAAAAGAGAGAAAAATGTTCAAAACAAAACTTAAAACTATTCTACTTTATCTTTCCAATCATATTTGCTATTTCTACCCCGCTAAAATCAGTGTTCAACTCATGTTTAGTTGTTCTGGAGCCTCTTACACATAAAAATGCTGATCTTAATAGGTTAAAACATAGTTTTGCTCTCAACCAATGAATCACAATGCTATAATCCATCTGCTTCTTATCGTATAGTTTTTGGGCTAGTTCCGTAAGAAATCTCTCGTCTTCCCTACCGTTTCCACCGTATGGTGAGAACACGAGAGGGCTGAAGGAGCCATGCTCGACTTCAATAATTCGCTGGTTGTAGTGTCGCTTTTTGTAGTTCTCATTGCTCGGGAAAGCCGTTTCAAGTTTCTGGTTAAGGTGACTCTTTGCAAACGGGTTAAAAACCCTGACATCAAAAAATGCACTTTCTCCCCTTTTCCAAAAACCGCACACGCTGACATCCAAACGAGCGTCATCAGAGGAGTTGGCACTGCTGATTATAACTTCTCCTGTCAAAGACTGAAGGTATGACTCGACCTCAACATTATAACATACGTCAGGAGAAGGAGGACGCTTCAGTTAAGCGAGTTACAGGTATTGTCTGCATCCACCAAGAGCAATGCGTCAGTGGGCTCTTCCTCGAAGATGTCACTCCTAGCATGTACAGCGCCCTCACGTCCACCTGCTTGACCGGCACAGGGTTGTAATTTCTTGCTGAACTCATGATCTCTGGCTTAATGACTGAAAGAATGGCTTTCCTAACAATCCTCCGTAGTACTTCACCGACACCAATAGGTCTAACACTAGGGTTATTATCTAAAGGAATCAGCCTGCAAGCTGTGTAAGTTTCCAGGTTTGTGTATGTTCTGCCGTTTTCAACAAGGACTTCTGTTTCAATAGTACTAATCTTTTGTGCGAAGGTGGCTAATGCACCCCTAAGATTATAGCCAGCAGCTCCAAAATTCTTCGACACCAAGATTCTCCTCCACCCATCGGCGTCTAAACCGGAGGGCCCACAAGAGCACCTTGTCCGTAAGGCTGCATTTGCAATATAGTAGAGTCCGTTATATTTTGAAACATAACAGGGTCCAAAAATAGAGGTTGGCCATCTATTAACAGTGAAGGATCGGTTTCGTTTGTCTCTGGGTGTTTCAGTTTCAGCTCGTTTATAGTGCTTTGGAATAGGGGGAGCAAAATTGTTGCTCTGTTGATCCAAAAGCTTCATAGCAGCATTTTTCTTTCCTTCAAGCACAAGCTTAGCAAAGATTTTAGCTAATCGGTCTTCGTTTAAGCCCTTGGGATTCGTAGGCAATTTGGCTTGGACCGTACTAGCCTCACGAAGCAATTCATCAAATTTACCCAACTCCGATTGTGCCAAACGCCTTGACAAGCACTGGGAGTATTCTTTTGCTGTTGATTTGAATGTTGGCTTCTGGAGAAGTAGGGCAGGCATTACCACGAGGACTTTTAGAGCAATATCTTTAAATTCAATTGCATCCTGGATCCAAAACTCAATCCACTTTGTTGCTTCTGAAATAAATTTCTTCCCCGCGGCCCCACTCGGTAGTTTGAATAAATTCCGTCCCCAATATACGATTTCCTCATATATCACATTGATCTTATTGTGGATATCGTCTTCAGTAAAGACTCCCCATGTTTCAGGTTTTATTGATGTTGGTTGGCTTCGTGCTGTGATATTGACATTCACTTGAGCTAGATCTTGCTGGATAGGCTGCACTCGCGAGGTAGACTCCACTAGTAAAGATCGCTTTCTATAACTACTCAGATGGACATTCTTCCCATGATTAGTAGAAAAAGATCGTAGACACAGGTTACATTGAAAGGAGGCAGGAATTTGCCGAGTTTGTATTTGTTCACGATTGTGTTGATCCCGCTGCATTTTCACTTCAAATATTGATTTCCTCGGTCGATGGAGACGAAAAAGCTAATCCACTAGCTCAGGAAACATGCAAGATTATCATACGTGTGATAAATATTGCATCTTCACGCTTATTTAAGACCGATAACCACAAAATTGAAATAATTTTAGATAATAATAATAAAGAGTACTACTTAGCCCTAGATCATCCAAGCATGACTGCCAGTTGGCATAACATACGACCAGAATATGATAACAATAAGCTGAAGATTTCAAAAAACAGAGGTTCATCGTGGGAAACAATAACCATCAGGTGTTTATGACTATAGAGATCTAAGCAGTTAAATTCACAACAAAATAGGAAAACTGACTGGAAAAGAAACTTATGGAATTGACATACTGTTTGATTTAACAACTTACAAAGTTTTTACAAAACTCGATCAAAACTATCAGATTGATTTTAAAAGTACTGGTAATTTTAATGTTTTACTCGGGTTTGATAAGAAAGTTTTAAAATCTAGCAGTTATGGAACAAAATTTCTAATTTATATATCAGATGTTCTCTTTTGAGCGAATCTTTAATTTCAGGAAGACAATCAAATGTACTTTATACATTTTCAACAAAAACCAAAACAAGGTCTTTACCATCTGAAATCCAAGCAATAAATTATCTCTGGAATAGAATAAATACAGAGGTAATAGCTGAGGTGACCTTTTACATGATAGACGTTGAACGCCGTGAGGATGATCTGAATGGTATAGATATACCTTTGACGATTGTAATGAGGGAAGTGTGATTCACATAGACTTATCATATAGACGGAACGAAGAGAAAGAGATTCTGATACAGGTGAATATCATATTATTCAAGGTGAAGGCATATATATTTGATGTTTTCAAAAATATGGGGAGCAAGATAGCTTCCAAACTTACTAAAAAAACAGCCAAAAAAACTTGCTACTAAAGCCACTGAAAAATTAATAGAAAAGGGTTAAAAAAAAAAATAGGTGAAAAAACAGGGTGACGGATTGGTTACAAGATTTATAACAAATTTAGTGATAAGCCAACAGACGAAACCAAAGGTGATGATACTATCAAACTGTTACAACAAGTTTACAATGATTTACTTTTGTGATCATTTTATCTAATCATATAATATATGAACGGAAATTTTAGAAGTCCAGAATTTTTTAAACGATATGAATATTCATCCTTTGATCTGTAAACACCTCGCTAATGTTTTTGCAAATAATCGGCAAACAAGGGATAATTATCTCTTTGTTGTGGATAATAGCTCAGAAGCTAACTCAATCGACTGGTACAATGCATATTTAGAAGTTAATTTCAAACTTTCACAAAAAGACCAAGAGCAGGATGGTGCTGGGATCGATGCTGGAACTGGAAATACTAATCTGTTTTGCACAACAACAAATGAACCCACTTTTATTAGAGAGATACAAGTCGAGTGTAATGTTATAACTGTTTACAATAATACAAGAGGCAATGAAACATCGAATGTTTTATCACTTTCAAAATACACAAAAGATTATGCCAATACAGTCGCCAGAGACAATTCCTTTTATTCGGATACAAGCACACGAACCGCAGAGCCAAGATCCGCGCAAGCTTTTATAACCAAGGATACTCGTTGCGTAATATATTAACAAATGGTGCTAATGAAAAAGAAATGTCCATTGCATTTGAATATTTATAGTTATTCTGCAGCCTTCAAAAATAACCTACACCCGAACATAAAAATAAATATTTTGATTCGATTAGCTAATGATAACGATATTATATTTCGTCTCAATGCGGCACCCAATTCAAAAGTGCTGATAACCAAATTCAGATTATGGTGACAAATTGACAAATTATTATTTTTATGGTGTGTCACTTAGTAAAGTACAATTGGAAAAGCTTTCACGAGCTTACAACAATAATTCCGCAATAACAATCAGAATTGCTAATAATGAATTGTCTGATCCACATGAATTAATGTTGACAAAAGCTCAGACCAATAAATTGAAAAAAACAATTAGGGCCAAGGTGTGGGATCTGATATTAAACTATCAAAAACACAAATACGGAGAGCAGTGAAACAAGGCGAATCTCTGTGGTCTAGCCCAGGGCGTAAGAAGCTAGGGTGTTGAAACGCTCATACGCGCTCTCCGGTTCAGCTATGATGCAGAGTAGGACTGGAACTAGTTGGCCTTTCCGCTCTCGATCCGCTGTTAGGGCAAGAAAAATGGCGCCGTCTAGCTAGAGGTAGGTTCGGATTTATTGCTTTATATCTTAAGATCGCTGCAATCTATAATTAGATTTGATAGTTGGCGTATTTCTATGCGATATATAGAAAATATTTAGGTGATATTTTATAGTTAGTCTGATAAGTTAAGGTGTTTTATCGCCTTTTATGTTTATGCAGTGTCAAAATGGCCTATCGAATATGCAGGTTGAAGGTCGCGTTTTATCTTGCCAGTCAAAACCAAATGATAATAAACGGCTACCAAAAAAATATGTAACGGTTTTATAAATTTTGTTTGTGCATGCAAGTTTTTAGAGTGAACTTTTATGAACCTATAAGGTTTTTTTTACTTCTGAA